CAGAGGAAGCAGGAGCTGGGCTTAGCCAGTGTCCTGGGTCCATTTCAGCCCTAGTAATCACCATGAACCCTTCAGACACTGAGAAGCCGGAGTTTCCTGTTGGTGGTGTTCGTGACGGGCAGCGTTCTCTCCGAGCCTGGAGCTGGTGGTTTGCGTGCCTTGCGGCTGGCCTTGCTGTGGGACAACACTCAGTGCTGCTTGAGCAGTGACTGGAACCCCACGGCACCTGCAGCTCTGAAGGGCGTGGCATGCTCCCTGAGTTACCCAGGCTGCAGCATGCGGGTGCAGAGACAGGAGCGGGGCCTGAGTCGGAGGCTATTTTGGCCTGGTGGATGGGCACTCGGGCAGCAGCAGATGGTTCTGGTGGCCCTGGGAGGGTAGTTGGGCTGGGGCAGCAGCTAGGGGCTGGCAGAAGCGGTGTAGAGAGCATGCCCTCGCTGAATGAGCAGACACAAAGAAGCCCCTGTGCACCAGGGCACGGGAGGCACAGTCCTGCACTGGGGGCTTGTTCTTGGTCAAAAAAGGTGGGACAAGGACAGTGAGAATAGTCCGGTGAGTGAGGCCAGCAGAGGTGCCCAGGAGGCAGCCACGGTGGTCTTTACAGGGTCCGTGTTAGCAGAATCCTGGCTCCAAGGAAGGGTGGAACACCACTCTAATCTGGTGGCTGTGCCCAGAAGGAATTCTTCCTGGAATGTTCTAGAGGAGAATATTGGAGTCAGAGTTAACAAGCACTGTGTATTAACTCAAAAACAAGCTTGCCTTGGTCCCAGGGAACACCCTGTCCTGTTCAGCTCCTGCATCAGAAGGAAGCCGTGTTTCCACTGTATCTGACCATTCAGATGACCCCTAGCCTGAGCCTGGGGCAGGAGCAGGGGCGGCACTCTGCCGCACGGTCTGCTCTGCAATTTGGCGGTAACCCACCCCTGGAAGCCGGCACTTTATGTCCAGTCAGGATCTCAGTACCTCGTCTAGAGTCTTTTTATACATTTTAGAAAGATTATTTATTTGAAAAGCAGACAGAAAGAGGGATGGAAAGGGCAGTAGGACTGTCCACCCCCGGGTTCTCTCCCACGATGCTGGGCTGGGCCGGGCCAAAGCCAGGAGTCGGGAACTCCGTCCAGGTCTCCCTTGTGGTGGCAGGGACCCAAGTACTCGGGGCATCACTTACCCCTCCCAGGTGCACCGCAGACGCCGTGTGAGCATCCCAGCAAGCGGCAGTCGGCACCACAGCACCGAGCCCTAGTGTCTGTCTTCTTAAAAATAGTTACAGAGAGTGACGGGGAGACAGAGAGGGACCTTCCACCCAGTGGCTCATTCCCCAGATGGCCACAACAGCTGGAGTTAGGCCAGACCGACGCCAGGAGCCGGGAGCTTCCTGAGTCTCCAGTGTGGGTGCGGGGGCCCAAGCACTTGGCCCGTCTTCCAGTGCTTTCCCAGGTGCATCAGCAGGGAGCTGGATCAGAAGTGGAGCAGCCGGGACTCACACCAGCGCCCACATGGGATGCCAGCACCTCAGGTAGCAGCCTAACGTGCTACACCACAGCACTGGCCCCCTTTATGTCTCTCTTATTTTTTCTTTTTATTTTTTTTTGACAGGCAGAGTTAGACAGTGAGAGAGAGAGAGACAAAGGTCTTCCTTTGCCGTTGGTTCACCCCCCAAATGGCCACTGCAGCCAGCGCTGCGCCATTCCAAAGCCAGGAGCCAGGTGCTTCTCCTGGACTCCCATGGGGTGCAGGGCCCAAGCACTTGGGCCATCCTCCACTGCCTTCCCGGGCCACAGCAGAGAGCTAGCCTGGAAGAGGGGCAACCGGGACAGAATCCGGCACCCCAACTGGGACTAGAACCTGCGACGCCAGCCTGTGTCTCTTGATAATGGAAAAGAGTGATAGTTTACTCTGCAGTACTGGAAGCTTGGAATAAAGAAAGTGCAGTCTTTCTTGTTCAATTTAAAGATCTATTTATTTGAAAGGCAGAGTTACAGAGAGGCAGAGAGAGAGAGAGAGGTAGAGAGGTCTTCCACCCACTGGTTCACTCCCCAGATGGTTGCAACAGCCAGAGCTGCAGCAATCCGAAGCCAAGAGCCAGGAGCTTCCGGGTCTCCCATGTGGGTGCAGGGGCCAAGGAATTGGTCCATCTTCTGCTGCTTTCCCAGGCCACAGCAGAGAGCTGGATTGGAAGTGGGACAGCCACATGGGATGCCGGCACTGCGGGCAGCGGCTTGATCCACTGCCCCACAGCGCACCCCTCCTGGAGGCTCTTGACAGCACAGAGTTAGAGCCGGTTGCCACCCCAGGAGGTCTGTGGAAGCAGCCCCCTTGATCTCCAGGAATCTAGGCAGCTGATGGGTTCCCTCCCCAGCACCCACACTGCAGCCTGTCCCCTCCTGTGTGTGGCTGTCGCTCTCAGCTCACCAGTGCTAACTGTTTAGCATTTCCTTTAAAGAAAATTAGGTTTATCTTTAAATTTTAAATTCCTTACTTACTGCATTTTACAAGTTGTGTCCTTCATTCCCTTTTTTCATTATTACAGAGTTTTGAATACCAGTAAGTCCAAACTTTATATTGGCAATGTTTTTCTTACTGAGTTTTTACTGAGATCACTGTGGCTTCGTGTGCATGTCTAAGGTGGTGGAGAGGCCCTGGGTGCCTTTCCCCAGGCCTCTCCCCAGACAGCTCCTGTGCAGCTGTGGTGCAGTCGTCGTCACAACAGAGGCATTTCTGTTCTCTTTCAGTTGTGGTAAAATACACAGAACTAAAGTTTGCCATCGGTGACACTGAGCGGCGGACTCACGAGGTAGTGGGACCACCCTCACTGGACCCAGAGCAGGAGAGCCCTGCCCAGGGTCACTCACTAGGCCGCCTCCCCCACTGTGGAATGCCTCTCTTCTGAGGGACGGCTCCTATGAGTGGGGGAGCCGCCTGGCCCTGAGGGTGCCTGCCCTGCCCAGAAGCTTCGGTGTCTGGGGTCTGTGCTTAGGTGAGGGTTTGTTTAGCTCCTGGCTTTCTGGTCTGAACCAGAAGTCAGAGCGGCCCCGTACGTTCAGCCCAGCTAATAGACAAGAGGGCCCCAGGCTCGCTTCCCTTCAGAACAAAACCAAGAAGAATGAATGCTAATTGTGTGCTATAGCGCTGCCATCGATGCTTTTTGAGAAAGCAAACCGTGGCCACCAAACGAGAGAGCCAATCCAGAGACAGTGACAAGCAATCTTGAGTTCCTGGCACAGTAGCCAGGGTACACTGGGGCTGCGGGTCACTCAAGCCACGGTGACGAGGGCTGCGCGGCCCCGCCGCTGCTCAGTCTCTGACCCCAGGGAAGAATTCCCAGCCCGCAGCAGCCTGCACTGTCTCCCACTGGAACTGCGGACCCCTCAGAATCAGCTTGCCTTCCACAGAGCAAGTACAGGAAGTCATTTGCTCCAAGGCCCAGTGGATTTTTTCATTTCTGACCCAGTCAGAGAAGAGCCCTGACCGATGCCAGGCCACCCTGCACTGGAAGCCCCAGCAGACGTTATCCCAGGGCAGTCCTGGGCAAGGGGCAGGCTGTCCACCCCACTGCCAGCCAGAGAACAGTGCGGGAGAGCCCCAGTCTGCCACCTTTTCAAGTGTGTGGTTTTGCCTCTTGAACACCAGCTTGTCTCGTCCAAGGCCTGGCCCAGTCTTGGCCTGCCCTGGTTCAGCTGCTGTGTGTGCTCATGGGAGCCATCAGCCAGGCTGTACAGGCCATAACCTGCTCCTGGCACCCGCTCTGAAAGGACCCACAGCCGCCCAGAGCAGCCCCACCCCAGGGTCCTTCCCTGGGCCCTTGACATCTGTCCCATCAGCCTCCACAGAGGACTCGACACCCACCCCTAGGTTACTGCCTCACCTTCGGGAGTGGTGCTCTGTGCCCCCCACCTGCCACAGCCTGCCGTCACTGCAACCAGGGCTGGGCTGATGACAGCTCTCGTTCCCAAGCCGCCTCCCCGCTCGCTCAGAGTGACATCACCCCTCCTCACATAGCCCGCGGCCCCACTGCCCCTCTGACCCACTGGCCCTGCTTCCTGGAGCCGGCCCGCGCCTCCGGGCCTTGCTCCAGGCCTGTCAGCCCATCCTCTGCACTTCCTCGCTGTCCGCAGGCCCTCTGCCCCCTGCATCCGGGGTCAGGGTCAGGGGCCCAGCAGACCACCCATCCCTCACACCCTCCGCTGGTTTGTCAGGCCACGCCCCACACTCCCGGTAGAACTACAGCTCCCTGAGGGCAGGGACAAGTGTCTGCACAGCCGAGGTGTCCCCAGCGCCCAGCGCGGCGCCCATGGAAGGCGCTGTGTTTGCTGAGTGAATGACCCTGTGGCTCCAGGCACGGGGTCCCCGAGCAGCCCTGCAGTGGACAGGTCTGGGGGCGGGGGCCCGTCTGTTCAAGGTGAGCCGCATGGCAGGGGTAAGATGAAGGCAGCGTCAGCGCCGAGGGGCCACTCGGACACCTGGGCCTCGGTCCCCGGCGTCTGCTCAGGCCCAGGCAGCTCCAGGGGCTCACAGGGGCCTCACTGGCTGAGGGCTGTTCAGTGCTGGGACAGCGGGAGCTGGCCATTGAAGGGACTTCTCGTCCTGTGCAGGGTGGCCGGGGGCCAGCAGACGCCAAGTGCAGCCAAGCTGCTAAGGAGCCTGGTGCGCTCACTGTAGGCCGGCCCCCTCCTGGTTCCCGCCACCTCCAGGCACGTCATCCTGCTGAGTGTCAGGGCCCGACTGAGCCTGGCCAGGCAGCCTCTCCAGAGGGGCTGGGGGGGCGGGGCTTGGGTGTCCAGGCAGCACCCTCCTGTGCTGTCCCACCTGGCCGAGGGTCCCGCCCCGCCTGCCTTCCCCCGCCTGTGTGGGGCGTGTCTCCATCGGGTTTCTGGTTGGACCGCCTTTCTCCCCTTGTGCTGTCTGTGGTTTCTGGCATGTCCACTGCTCTCCAAACCTCCCGTCCGTCCTCTCCCACCCCACACCGCCCTCTCCTAAGGAATGTCCTTTCCTGCCTCCAGCCTGCTGGGGTCACCCTGGTCAGCGTCCATTCCAGCCCCAACGACCAGATGCTGTGGGCACTCGACAGCCGATGGAACGTGCACGTCCGCGTGGGCATCACCGAGGAGATGCCTGTGGGCACCGACTGGGAGCACGTGCCAGGTAGGGGAGAGCCCGCGTGAACCAGCCAGCGTCCCCCTTTCTCTGCATGGCCTGGGTCTGGGGGAGCTGGTGGCGCTGCCATTCCATGTCCCAGGCCACGCAGACAAGCCTCTGAAGCGTGATCCTTGCGGGCTGAGTCCAGGCCATGTCACACGTGCTTCTGTGGGGTGAGACCCTCTGTCCCTGGGCCTCAGGCTCTCTTGGCTTGGCTGGCTCTGCGGGAGGGGGACTGCAGGGTCCTCAGAGGGCAGCCCGTGGGAAGGGGTGCTGCATCACCCACTCCCAAGAGCTGAGCAGGACCCCCGTGTGCCCACAGGGCTGCAGGCCTGTCAGCTGGCCCTGAGCACCAGGACCGTGTGGGCCCGCTGTCCAAACGGCGACCTTGCCCGGCGCTATGGCATCACAGACAAAAACCCCGCTGGAGACTACTGGAAGAAAATCCCCGGAAACATGGCGTGTGTCACAGGCAGGTGCCCTGGTGGGGTGGGCTCAGCAGGCCTGAGGCGGCCTCGGGGCTCCCGTGGGCCTTGGAGAGGGATCTCTAAAAGAGGGCGCACCCGGCCCTGCAGTCCCCTGAGAGAAGGACCGGCTGCCATGTCCCCGCGTTAACACTGAGGAAATGCAGCCAAGAGGGGCACGTGGCTCATCCAGGCTCCAGACACTGTGTGCCTTCCTCTGGCCCAGGCTGTGTGACTGACCAGTGTGCCGACTCTTGTCCCCGCAGTGACCTCGTCAGATGAGCTCTGGGCAGTGGGGCCCCCCGGCTGCCTCCTGCAGCGGCTGACGAAGACATTCAGCCACTCGCACGGCGCCCAGAAGAGCGGGCAGGCGGCCGCCCCCCACCCCGAGGAGCTGGAGGAGGAGTGGGAGGTCATCTGAAAGCCCAGGCCACGGGCGCACGCTGTTGATGGACGTGACTCCTTGACTGCTGTCACGCGTCCGGCCGGGCTGGACAGCCCACGCTTCCTTTCATCCACGTTTGTCTCCGTCTCCTTCCAGAGCCCACAGCCTTGGCCGAGCGCCCAGAGCTGCGGGTGACCTCTTGCAAGGTCGTCTCCGAGTAGGGCAGTGGCTGCCGCCCAGTTGCATGCACTCCAGCCTCTGTGTGCTGCACTCCTGTTCTCATCAGCACGGCTGGGTCCCCTCCGTGGGAGACAGAGTGAGTCAGCCCAGAGCGCACACACATCCGTGAGCAGCCCCGGGTTAGAGCACTTGGGGACCAGGTCCCCCCTCGCCTCCTGGTCTGTGCGACACGCAGCAGGCAGGGTGGGGAGCGCAGGTGTGCACATGCGCACACACATGCACACGCGATGCCACACCCTTGCTGCCCACCCCAGGCGGCGCTTCCCTCCAGCGAAGGCCAGTGGATGCTGATGGGACCCGGAAGTGTGCGTGTGTGTCCGCAGGGTCCACAGGAGCTCAGCCGACGGAGCTGACCAGTCTGGGATGTTTGCTGGGGGACCAGGCGCATCCCCAGAGGACACATCCACTGATGACTGCCTTGTTTGTTGTTTTACAAACCTTCATGAGATACCTCATTTGAAATCGGAGCTTACAGATTTAGAAGAGAAATGCATCTGCTGAAAGTTGTGGGGCCTCCTGCCCTCCACGACTCGCCGGGATGGACAGTGAGCCCGTCCTGTCCTCTGCTGCGGCTTTGGAGCGTGGCCGTGCCCGCGCACCCCCGGCTCGCTGGGGCGTGCCGCCAGCTCCGAGGGCCGCCCACGCCTGCCGCGGGCTTTCGGGCGGCACCTGAGCAGCCTGCCCCCAGTGCCTGCCCCGGCTCCGCCCCTGAGCTGCAGGACTGGCCCGGCCCCGCCTGAGCCACTGCCCTTCCCACAGAGCCCTCCCTGGCAGGCCCCGGCTCAGTGCCCGTGTCCTGCTGACTGTCAGGGAGCCCTGGGCACAGGCGGAGGGCGGCGGCGTGTCCGGATGGGCTGCCTGCTTCCCAGAGGGGACACGACGCCCCGCGCCCAGGTGGCACCACTTCCCTTTGTAGATCGTTTTTTTTTTTTTTTGAATTATTTATTTTTTTTTTTGACAGGCAGAGTGGACAGTGAGAGAGAGAGACAGAGAGAAAGGTCTTCCTTTGCCGTTGGTTCACCCTCCAATGGCCGCCGCGGCCGGCGCGCTGCGGCCGGCGCACCGCGCTGATCCGATGGCAGGAGCCAGGAGCCAGGTGCTTTTCCTGGTCTCCCATGGGGTGCAGGGCCCAAGCACCTGGGCCATCCTCCACTGCACTCCCTGGCCACAGCAGAGGGCTGGCCTGGAAGAGGGGCAACCGGGACAGAATCCGGCGCCCCGACCGGGACTAGAACCCGGTGTGCCGGCGCCGCTAGGCGGAGGATTAGCCTAGTGAGCCGCGGCGCCGGCCCTGTAGAATCCTTTTTAAGTCTGGTGACGGCAGAGGCTGCCGCAGCGCTGGCTGCGCCTCCTGCACGCGTGTGCCTTGCCCGGCTCCTCGAGATGGCAAAGCTCTCCTCCGCCCCGGGACCCCAGTGCAATTCTACCCAAGCGTAGTTGGTCTTTGGAACAGCTGTCAGCTTCAGTGCTTTGTACCATTTCTAACGTTTAGTTGTGCTTTGAGACAGTGCAATAAACTAGACTTTTTCCAATCCGGGTCCGTCTGATGCTTGAGCAGACAGCCAGGGCGGCGTCCCGCATGTGCTGGCCAGAGCTGCCCAGGGAGCGCCACGGCCTCTTCTCGTGGAGAGGGCTGGGTGGAACCGTGCCCCAGGCTGCCCAGCTGGCTGTCCTGGGTGATGGCCACCCCAGGGCAAAGCCCCGAGCAGGGGGGGCTGGGGCAGGCCCGGTGGAAACCAGCACGTGACAGAGGCCTCTCGCCCAGCCCTGGAGCGGGACACACGACGTCCTAGGAAGCAGCGTGGACAGGAAACAGACCCTGTGACGTGGCGGTGCTGTGGACGTCAAAGGCACACACAGGTTTAACTCCATTTCAGTCACACTCCCCGTGGGGATGTTTTTATTTGAGGGGAGACAGGGATTTACAAAGTAATGTCAAGCCCACACCGCCCAGAGCTCCCAGACATGCAGCCAGGGTGCCCCGTGAGGCTCAGGGGTCGGTCGAGGCCGGGGGGCAGGAGGGTCGCTGTGCTGGAGGCCTGGCCCGCGTCCATCCTGGGTAAAGCAGCAGCTGAGCACTGCCCGGAGGGATGAGGCGGGAGTACAGCCCCGCAGGCCAAGGCCCATCACCGACGTGGGAGGGGCGGCTGTGGGTGCAGCAATTGTAAACGCGATAAACCGGGGCGGCGCCGCGACGTAGTGGATAAGGCTGCCGCCTCCAGTGCCGGCATCCCGTATGGGTGCCCTTTCAAGTCCCGCTGCTCCTCTGATCCAGCTCTCCGCTGTGGTCTGGGAAAACCATAGAAGATGGTCCAAGTCCTCGGGCCCTGCACCTGTGTGGGAGACCCAGCGGAAGCTCCTGGCTCCCGGCTTTGGATTGGCACAGCTTCCTACCATTGCGGCCAACTGGGGAGTGAACCAGCGGATAGAAGACCTCTCTCTCTCTCTCTCTGACTCTCCTTCTCTCTCTGTGTAATTCTGACTTTCAAATAAATAAATAAACCTTAAAAAAAAAAAAAAAAAAAAGAATCCTAGGACCTGGGGAAGTGACACGGATTTCTGATTTCCATCTCAGAAGCAGACCCATGGAGAAAACAAGTACATGGAGTGGGTTTCCTCAAAATGTAAAAATGCTGTCCAAAACTGATAAAAGGAAATTTCTGCCAGAAATGCGATAGAAGCCAGCAGGAGGACCCCAGTGTGGACAGCGAGACCCCGGGGGACGGGCCCCACTTACACAGAGCCCAAGGCGGGGCAGGGGCCGGCACCCACCCCTCTGCAGCTGTTACAAAGCAGGGGTGTGGGAGCAGAGCTCCGCCCACCCCCCACCCCCCCGGGGTCTGCTCTGCCCACGCACTGGCTCCAGAATGTCCCCAAGTGCGGGGGTGGGGGGAGGTTCGCTGCCTGCAGTTTGTACCTTTTTGTATCTTAGATTTTGTGCCATGTAGATGTATTATTTACTCCAAAAACAAAAGCTTACCTTTTAAAACTTCAGTTCTCTCTAACGTTAACTCTTTGTGGCATCCACACTTAACTACACAAACACCAAACACTTTTAAAAATCGTATTTACAAAGTACCTCACCGTATGGGCAAGTGCTTATCTACAGTGAGGTTAGAATACCAAATCAGACAAGTGACCTGACTGTGTGTGTGCAAAAGTGAGCACTGGGTGTGCAGAGCACTGGAAAGAGAACCCATGGGGGACAGCAGCTAGCCAGCCCCTCCCCCCCCCCGAGCATTTGGGGCAGGACCACGTCTCCGCGGGGGCCCCACCACGCCCCACCCTGCACCTCTACACAATCCAAGCATTCTACCACGAGCTGGAATTTTATAAGCAGAAGTTAATTTTTTAAAAACCACCGAGGAGGTGCAGCAGGTGGAGCCACCACTTGGGACACCTGCGTCCCCTACGGGCGCCCCTGGTTCCAGTCCCAGCCACTCCACGCTGTCAATCCTGTTTCCTGCTGATGCACTCGGGAGGGAGGCGGGGATGCTGAGCCGAGCGTGGGAGACCCGGATGCAGCCCTGGCTCCTGCCTCAGCCTGGCGCTGCCCTGGCTGTTGGGGCCATTTGGGGCGTGACCAGCGGGTGGATGATGCCTGTCACTGTTTCTCAGATTTTTTTTTTCTTTTTTCAAAAATGAAGAGGGCTGGCGCTGTGGTGTAGCGGTGAAGCCACCACCTGCAGTGCTGGCATCCCATATGGGCACTGGTTCAAGTCCTGGCTGCTCCACTTCCAATCCAGCTCTCCGCTGTGGCCTGGGAAAGCAGTGGAAGATGGCCCAAGTGCTTGGGCCCCTGCACCCGTGTGGGAGACCAGGAAGAGGCTCCTGGCTCCTGGCTTCGGATCGGCACAGCTCCAGCCATTGCAGCCAACTGGGGAGTGAACCAGCAGATGGAAGGCCTCTCTCTCTGCCTCTCTGAGTGTAACTCAAGAAATAAATCTTTAAAAAAGAAATTGCTGAAGACACCGCACTGCCTGCCTTTATTGGTCTGTAGGTGCCGACACTTGCCGTGACACGTCCGCCTTGCGGTTTGTAAACTGCAGAGGGTGGTGCAGTCTTCCCGAGACCTTGTGTTCCAGGGCTTCTGGGGAGTCTCCTTGTTCCAAACAGGATTTGAGGTAACTTGGGAAACCCTCCTCAATACACAGTGTTCTAGACTTGAAGAAACCAGGAGGGAAGGGAAATCAGTCGGAAGATCAAGGTCATCCCTGGATGACGCTAGCACACCCTGGAGGCCCAGTGACCCGGCGTGAGCCAGAGCCAGGCCAGCCCATGGAGTCACCAGGGCCCAGGGGAGCGGGCCTCGGTGCCTGTCTGCATGGCCACCTCCCGCTGCCACAGCACGCATGGGCTCACGTGAGGTCTCCAGACGCCTTGGGAACAGAGGCGGGGGGTGGCGAGCGGGTGCTGTGCCCCAAGGGCCCAGCCGTCACTGTCCTCCCTCGCAGGCATCTGGGGTCAGAGGTCGTGGCCCCTGATCTCAGCCAGGGTTGGGGTGAGCACGGGGAGAGACAGAACTGACCTCAGTTAGTCAGCTCTCCTTAGAGCAATGAAATTCAGACTGAACAAGAGTGCCAACGTGTTCTGGCCGGAGGAGGTGGCTTGCTCAGGGCAGGGATGGACTTGGAGAAGCCACCAGCGCTGCCTGAGCCCCCCACGCGAGTTGCTTTCCGTGGGAGGACACCTGGGTCCATAAAGTGACTAGGCGCAGCTAGCCCCCACCGGGCTTCCGGGGGCAGAGGGCCCAGGGCCCGTAAACCAAACCCTGGTCTGGCCAGAAGCAGCCACAGATAAGGCCTTGCTCAGCTTATCTGCCCAGCACCATTCCCCGGGCCCTCTGCACACACCAGCGCAGGAGGGGGCCCCAAGCCAGACGCGCCCTGAGACCCTGCAGGACCCACGCCAGCAATCGGGCCCCACTCTGCGGCTAGACGGGGGCGCTGGCCTGGGCTCTGCCCCTCTGGGCCTCAGCTTCCTCTCACCCCCCGCCCCGTCTGCATCTCACCACCCAAAGGGATGACTCAGGCTGACGCCCAGCTGCTCTCCCGCCCTCCCACCCACCTCTGCAAGGTCACAGGGGGATGATGGAGCACGCCCCACAGCTCCGACTCAGTCACCCGAGCTGCTTGCTGGCCACCCAACCAAGATACCCCCTAGATACCCGCTGGGCCACAGACCTCGCCCTGCACCTGCCCAGGCTGGGCCCGTGACCCGCCAGCGGCGCCCAGGTTGCTGTGGCGTCCCCTTCCAAGGGCCTGCCGGCCTGCGTTCCACTAAAGCGGCTGGCAGTCAAGGCTGTCACCAAGGGAGTATGGGTGACCCGCCCTAGGTGGGCTGACCAGAGAGGTAAGGGTCCGGCCTGGGTCCCCGGTACCTGCCTGGTTTGTAGACAGAACCTGCTGGAGCTTCCAGGCCCCACAAACTCCGCGTGGCTGGCCCGGCGAGCCCCCAGGAGCCACTGGTCTCGCCACCGCCTCCAAAGAGCCAAATGCCCACCCAAGGCAGCCCCCAGTGCCCCAGTCTGGGGCTCAGAATGATGTTGGTATCCCCTCCCCAAGTGCCAGCTGGGGGGCGCACACGCGGGTGGGGGGAAGGGGGCTCCCCCACCTACAGTCGGGAGCTGCGCGCCCACCCACCACTCCCTGTACAAACTGCCCAAAACCCCTTGAAGAGATGGGGAAACCGAGGCCCAGGCAGGTCCAGAGCCCCCATCTTCCCGCTGCCACCCCGGGCCGCGCGCGGCAGGACACCCAGCCCCCAGCCCTGTGCAGGCTGAGTGAGTTCCCCTCACATCAAGTCGCCACTGCCAGAACCTTCTGCAGAAGCCCACCGCGGCAGGCCAGGGAGCCCGGCCCAGGGCCCGACCGAGCTCCACCGAGGGGCCGGGCCCGGGGCCAGCGG